TAAAATCTGAATTATTTTCGATATACAAAAATTAAAAAAAAAAAAAAAAAAAAAAAATGGTACAAATTTTTTTTTCCAAAATTAATTATTTTGTTAAGGCAAGCAGAAAGTTCTTTGAATCAATTGAATCGGACGCTTAGTTCTCTCAAAAACTGCCATTTTTTGTACATTTAGCTCTGTATCTCCGAAATGGCTGGGCCTGCCTTTGCGAAAAACTAATAACCCTTTCTCCCAATCATTACTAATGGAATGTTTTTTAGATCATTTAAATCGGATGCTCCGTTCTCTCAAAAACTCGATTTCTATTTTCTGCACTCTTTGCTCCTTATCTCCGTAACTGCTGGACCTGTCTTTGCCAAAAACTAATCAGCTCTTCTCCTTATTAATAGGAATCGAATGTTTTTTAAACCATTCAAATCGGTTGATCCGTACGCCCGAAAAACGTGGACGAAAATTTGTATCCATACATACATACACACACACACACACACACACACACACACACACACACACACACATCCATTTTTTCTGAGGTATGCCAAAACGTTCAGAAACTTTCAAACGTCGAGAAATGTAAAAATTTTCAATTCCGATTTTCGGCCCATTACAATAACTTACTACCCTACGGGAAGTTAAAATCACAAATAAAATAAATTTGAATTTCAGTTTTTTATTACATGATTCAAAATTTTAACATTTGTGATGTTTTGAAAACGATTAAATTGTAATTGTTTCCTAAAACTTATTTATTATTTTTAAGAAACAAAATTTTAAATGGTTTTAGAAACGTTCAGGTGAGGCATAGCACAAAAAAGGTTGAAAATCACTGCTTTAAATAAAAGCACTGATAAAATAGATTCAGCACAAATTTTATATTTTATTCGTGCTGTCACTAAAGATTTTCAATGTTACGAAGAATTACTAGCTTTGGGGGTACATCATTATCAGGAAGAACTCGCGGGACCGATAATTTTAAAGAAGTATGTAATAAATTATAATTGAATGTAAGTAATTAACTTCCCGAAGGAGAACTTTATGTTTTCATCAAAAAATCCGAATTGCTAATTTTATGTTTTCTCGACGTTTCAAGCCATTCTGAATCGAATGAGATCAAATTTGGAAAAAGTATGCGCGCGCGTGTGTGTGTGTGTGTGTGTGTGTGTGTATGTGTGTGTGTGCGTGCATGTGAACAGATTTTTTGCCGTAAATCGACGTTTTCTCGAAAACGGCTAGACCGATTTCAAAAATTCAAAAACCACTCGATGTATCTCGATGAGGACTATTGTTTGTCAATTTTGTGCGACGATCGGCCAAGCCGTTTCTTTGTAAATTGCTTGAAAAATTTTTCGTCCACGTTTTAGCCCGCAATTCTGAATCGATTTTGAAAATTCAAAAACCGTTCGAAAGATATTGGTTGGGAATCGTGCTGATTAGTTTTTGGTAGAGATCGCCCGGGCCGTTTTCTTGTAATAAAGTTTAAAAAAAAAAATCCGACGATTTTTATGATTATTTTTTTGACGGTAGATACCATAGTCTTCTATATCATACTAAAATATTACGGTCCTACGACAACTGGTTCAGCTTTAAAAATTCGTCAAAGTTTGCAAAAATTGGCATCGTTTTTTTGGCATTTGTCAAAATTAGACCTTTGATCGACGTTTTCTCAAAAACGCCTGAGCCGATTTTAGAAATTTAAAAGCTATTTGATGTATTTCGGTGAGGACTATCGTTTGTCAGTTTTGTGTGACGATCTGCCAAGCCGTTTCTTTGTAATTTGAAAAAAAGTGTTAAACTTTTCGTCCACATTTAAGCTCATCCTACCGAACCGATTTTAAAAAATCAAAAACTGTTCGAAAGATATTAGTTGGGAATGACACTGATTAGTTTTAGGTGAAAATCTACCGAGCCGTTTTCTTTTAATTAACTGTTGAAAAAAAAAATTTAAGCTAATTTTTATGGAACTTTTTTTGGCGATATACATCATGGTCTTATAGAACTTACTGTAATATTACGGCCTTACGACAAGTAGTTTAATTCTAAAAATTCGTCAAACTTAGCTAAAATTATTATCGTTTGTTTTTTTAAGTAGGATTGGTGAAGTATATTATTTACACTTTTTTCTGATTAAGTCGATTATTTACACATATCGGGAAGTTCATGTAACTTGCCTCAAAGCTAAATACCAAACCAACTAGTTTAGTTAGTGTCTGCACTGATGGCGCACCTTCTATGAGAGGCAGAAAAGAAGGATTCGTCGCATTGTTAAGAAAAGGAAACAAATTCAAGAAAATTGCTAAAAATCTGCGCACACATACAGAGGCTTTTTTTAATTTATAACGTTTATAATTGAGTTTGAAATTATTACTCCCTCGTTTCTCACTTACAAACCTTGTCTTTGCGAGAAAATCCGATATTGATGATATTACATGATGATAGTAATGATGATATTGCATTTTCTCTAGTCTCAACTAAAGATGCTGCGAGAATGTTGAGGACGTTCTCTTCAATACATGATATACCTGTGGAGGAGGTGTTGATCTTGTTTACGGGGAGTCATACAAAATCAAGAATAGGGAAAATGACCTTGTAAATAATTTAAATCCAATTCTTTATTGTTCAGGACGTGTACATTTTTCTAATGTGGCACCACGCATTTGGGGCACATAAATGAAGATATAAATATAAAGATAAATGTCTCAAGGTCAAACAAAAAAATCTAGATCTTATATACAAGTATATCTTCCGATCCGAGATTAGCTAACATAATCAAATAATCTCTGCCTGCCATTCTTCACGAATAGTTACTCAATGGAGGCATCGCAATATATTTATTTCTTTATTTGCATATAATTATTATTTGTATTTGCTTATCATTGTTTGTATTTTGATTTTGTTTTTTTTTTTTGGATTGACGTCACACATTAGCTCATACAATTTGTATATTCTGATTGCTAACTAAAGAAAACCGAAAACGGATGTGGTAGCAAAAGAGTAAAATAGGGAGGGATGTAAAACCTTAATCAACTTTTCAACTTTACTAACCGTAAACTTAATAAAAGGTAGTTATAAATACATTAAATGATTTACTTATAACTTAAACCAATCATGTTTTAAGAGATTGTTTCTGAACAGCAGATGGGTGTGAAGTCAATGTGTAAAATTAAAAAAAAAATTTGTCCGCAAATTTTTAATGAATATTTAGTGAATATTAGAATTACTGGTCTATGATATGAAATAATAATTTGCTACGAACATGCTTTACGAAAAGTTTAAAATTCGTCAAATAACAAATTCATTCCGAAATAATTGTTCATTATACATTTAAAGTGCGTAAGTTTATGTATTTTTTTTATTTGAAAAATCAACATACATATTTAGTAAACAATTTTGTAATTGTGCACTCTAGATAAATTAAATTAAAGTCAATGTAGAAATCAGCTGTATTAAAAACTACCAGACCAACTTTGCCCTCTTAGACAAGAAAAAATTTGTTGACAATTAACTGAAATTTTATTAAGTTGACAATTAACTGAAAGTTTATTAAGTGAACATTTTTTTAGGAATATTGCTTTCAATTCAAAATAATAATCAATTAACAATTCTAGCAATCATTAAAAAATTAATCATACTGCTATGAATTAATGGAGTAATAGTATACTTATTATCAGGTATTTGAATTTGAAATATTTTTTTTTTGTTAAACTACTAATTTTTTATTATAGGTGCTTGCAGCTATTCATTTTTTTGGTAATGATTCACATCAAACTGATGTAGGCAATTGCTATATGAATTTTCCGAGAATTTCTGTCAGTCGCTTTATTAAAACAGAACTGCTAATTGTAACCACATTTATGCTGTTATTCATTATATAAACAACGACAGGAATAAGTCCAAAACATCTGAAGAGCAAGGCTGGAGAAGTTCGGAAAGGAAATCTATTCAAAGCCTCTCGCTATTGCTGATGATTTTCCAAACACAAAAAAATATGAACTAGTTTATTATATAGAAGATAATAATGTATCAGTGATAAACTGATCTTTTCGCACTATTCTAAAATGTGAGTCTGAGACCGCAAATTCAAACAGCTGCTAAAATTTTTGTCACTGCTTTATGTGATACGGCCATTAAAATAATAGCTGTGAAAAATACCGAAAATCTAATGAAACTTTTACTTAAAACTTCCAAACATAGCCAGTATTATATGTGATATATTTTCTGATTCAAACTGTATGATTACTACTATCAAAATATGAAATCAACTATATAATAACCAAATTGTTGTGTTTAAAAAAATAGATCAAAGTGAAAGTTCAGAGTGGTTTTCAGCTCGTCACAAAAACAATTTTAAAACTTTGGCCTTGATCTAATCAATCCAACTAAGACAATAAAATATGGCTTGAAAAATGAAAAAAAAGCAATAGCCAAATATCCTGTTGATGTGATCCCAGTTGGATTGTTAGTGAAGCCATTACAATCCTGGTAATGCACTAGTATAGATTATTTAGTTATTAAAAATAACAAACTAATAAAAATTGTACAAATTAAATGCCATTCAATATGATATCTTTGATGAGAAGATTGGACACTTTAATGTTGGCTACTCAAATATAGATAATGGAAACCATGTTTAAAAAAGAGCAATATTTATTACGCTCCATGCCAAATGCTAATGTATGTGTCTGATATAAATATCTGTAATTTTTATGTTTGGTCACCAAAGGATAGCAGGGTCACCAAAGGGTGCTTAATTACTAAATCCAAAGATAAAATCTTCTGAAAAAACTTAATTCATTTAATAAAATACTTTTATTTCATGTAGTATTTAAAATAACTTTTTAACAATAAACAAAATGCTACTAATACAAATATTTATCAATATAAAATAAAATATTATTACTACCAAGGACTAATAATCAAGACCGAAAGATGAAGTTTAGCTGCAATAAGAAATAAGATACAATCAGAAGATAGTTAAACTCCCACAAAAGATCACTGCAGGCATTTATATGAATCGGAAGGGTTATTACTCTATTAATATTGAAGTAGTAAGTATTATTTATTTGACTACTTAAATATTTTGAAGGTTGACTTAATATATCGTAAGATTTGTGATGCTGATGAAAGAATATCGTTTGCGAGTAGCAGATATTCTGTACCCACATATGACGCTGGCATTTGGCAGGTCTTAGTAGTTAGAACCCTACTGAATTGTAATGCTGATGACGGAACCTATTTAGTGGGTAATTCAAAGATATATTTAATACAGCAAATCAAGAAAGAGAAAGTGTATCAGTTGTACATTTAGAGGAGTTTCAGGTTACCCATTAGAACTTTGTCTACACACCCCATACAAGACAATGATAAGGTGTGAGTATACTGAGGAACAATACAATAAATTGCACAAAAAGGCTAGGAATGTTATTGAACAAATATTTTTAACTCCATTTAGTTGCAAAACTTATATAGGATACATATCAGTTTATAAAATGTTACTGCTTTAGGTGATATTGTAAGTGTTTAATTGTAGTGTTCCAGATTGATATGAAAAACATAAAGGTACTTACGTTAAGAATCTGTTACCCATATCACCTTGTACGGCCATACAGCCAAAACATTCACATAACCTTTCGTCATAAATAGTGTTTCTTTATCGACATCTGAAATTATAAAACATTATAATATTTGATATATACAAATGTAAATATGAAAATCATATGAAAAGAAAGAAAACATGAAATGCCCATATAAAAAATTGTTAAAATATAACTACCATGTGGATTGAAACAATATCGATAAAGAATAAAGCGAGTACGTACTCAATAATCTGATAAATAATACGGTCATTTAAACATGCAGTTTAAACTTAAATCGACAACAAAGCAAAAAGCAAGAACGTTACTAACAAATATTTCGCAAATAAAATCAAAGAAACTGCAGAATAGAAGGCTGTCAAACGTTATTTCTTGACAGATTGAATAATTAACCGAAACTATGACACACCAAAATACTAACCGAAAACCTGCAAATAATTTATCGCCAAATCAGATCATTAATTGTACACTAAAGCATTCAATTTAAACAAAATGAAATTAACATTACATAAACCCATGGTTGCAAATTCTGCGTAGTGAATCACCACACGACATAGATTACAAAGCAAGCAAACGGAGAGGGAAGTAAGTTGTAAGGGTGCCGGCACACATTGCCATACTGTTCATACAGCGCCCATGCGGCTTCGGCCGCAAACTAATCTAAGATTTCGTCAAATGCAACTTTATTAATGATTGATTAGATAGCAAAATAACTATTAAATGCAGAGATAATAAAGAAGAATGTCTCGTAAATGAATTTTAATCCTAGGAAATTAGTTTTCTCTCATTTTTGATATCAATATATATATATATATATATATATATATATATATATATATATATGATTTAGTAGTTAATTTTGATGTTGAAATATGTGAGTGAGTTCTTGAGGGCGATACATCAAACAAAGAAAAGCCAAAGATTTATAAAATAATCTTTATTTCCAAACGTTTCGACATTCAATTTAATGTCATCATCAGTGGATATTATGTTGGTTGGTTACATTACATGCCTCGGTACTCGCAAAGTACAGAAGTCGTGGCAGAAATTACATAATTCTACTTACATTTTTGTTCAATAAAACTATCATTTTTCTGTTTACATCATACAAAAAATTATAAAAAATGCATAGTGTTGACATGTTAAATGTATAAATGTTAGTGCCAATCTCTAGTGCTGTGTACACTTCTCTATATGTAACCAACCAACATAATATCCACTGATGATGACATTAAATTGAATGTCGAAACGTTTGGAAATAAAGATTATTTTATAAATCTTTGGCTTTTCTTTGTTTGATGTATCGCCCTCAAGAACTCACTCATATATATATATATATATATATATATATATATATATATATATATATATATATATATTTTATGTTTTTAGGATTATTTTGTTTGCAAAGCATTTGTTCTTTTTAAAAATTATCTGTACTTTTTATCCTTCTAAATTTTTGTATTACTTTTTATTCCTGCGAAATTTGTCATTTCATCGTCAATACTTCTGCGCATTTCTCTTATTAATTTTTAAGTTTTTAATATCAACGAAGTAACGAAAACGAACAGTCACATGTAACCGTTGCCCTTATCACATTTATTAATGTTTATAAAGGCATGTTCAAACAACTAATAGAACAAAATAATTTAGACATGAACATGTTAACCAAATTAGTTAAAAATTAACGGCCAAGTTTCTTCGGATTGCTCAATGGAATGCAAATGGTGTTCTAAATCATAAAAATGAATTAATATTATTTTTACAACACATGATTAATGTGATGCTAATCAGTAAAACGCATTTAACAAATAATCTACATTTCAAGATTCCTTTCTATTATTTCTATAATATTAATCACCCAGACAATACTGCAAACGCTGGATCTGGAATATTGATTAAAAACAGCATTTCACATTACACACTAACAAATTTTCAAGAAAATTATTTACAACCAACTACAATATGTATAAATACATTTCCTTAAGATATCATTGTCTATTCTGTATATTGTCCGCCACATCACACGATACAAACAGATGATTATGAAAAATTGATACATTAGGACACAGATTTATAGTGATAGGATATAGATTTTAACAGTAAAAATACCTTATGAGGCTCTAGACTTACCACTCCTAAAGGTAAGCAGTTGGCACAAATGCTATTAAATAAAAATTATTCATTCTTATCGACTGGAAAACCAACTTATTGGCCTACGGACAGAAACAAACACCCTGACCTTCTAGATTTTTATATAATGAATCGCATTTCTGATTTATACACAAACATAGAAGATAGTTCAGATTTATCATCAGATCATACACCTATTATAGCAGCAATTAGCACCACAGTAATAAGAGTGATAAAAAATCGATGGTCTTTTTAATTGTAAAACAAACTGGAACTCTTCTAGACAAGAAATCGATTCTAAATTAGACCTTAGAATCAGATTGAATTCTGAAGCATATATAGAAAATAACTTAAATTTTTACATATATACTCTGAAAAAATCTGTACAAAATGCTACTCCATATATAAAATATAGCAATACAAAGTCTAATATCCCAATGGAAATTAAAATATTATCAAGAAATAAAGACGAGCAAGGAAAATATGACAAGGGTCACTTAATCCAAGGGATAAAACAGTATTCAACAACTTATCGAACGATCTAAAACAAAAGTTGAAAGTCATGCAGAACAACAGTGTGGCGGAATACATTACCTATAAAATCTTTGAAGAAACCAATCCATTTTAACGCCCCATTGAGAATGGAATCACCATCATTAGGTGAATGGGCCAAAAGTGACAAAGAAAAGGCAAATTTGTTTGCAAATTATTTATCATATAATTGACAACGATGTAAGGAATGCTCTAAGAACAATTCATGCTGATTCTATAATTATAAAAAAAGTAACACCAAAAGAAATAAAAGAGTTTATTAAACAAATAAACAATAAGAAGAGTGCAGGGATAGATAACATAAAAGAAAGGTCTTGAAAGAATTGTCAAGAAAAGCAATTGTTCTGCTGACATATATTTATAATGCAATATTAAGGTTTGGATATTGGCCAAAATGTTTTAAAATTTCAGAGGTTAAAGTGATTTTAAAACCAGGAAAACCAGCTTCAAATGTCACAACTTACAGACCAATCAATTTACTGCCAATTCTATCAAAATTATTGGAAAAACTATTATTAGTGAGAATAATCATCAATTTGGGTTTAGAACCCAGCACTCCACAATACAACAATGTTATAGTAATCTGCTATGCAATCTGCAATCTATTTCAAAATATTTAATATTCCTAGAACATTTCGTTACGATACGGGAGGTTCCAGCAATTTGCCTTAAGGCACGATGCCATACACCCCACTAGTTCAGAATTTATTTCAGAACAGTTACGTAAACGATCTTCAAATTTAACTAGTGCATCAAAAAACTTAATAATTAATACTCCCATACCGTCAACAAGTGTAATGGAAGTTGAAGCGGAATCTAGCAATTCGAATAAAAACAAATGACAAATTGTTCCTATCCCGGGCGTTAAAAGAAGACCGAATGTGGCACACAGTTCTGAATAGACCTTCGTTGTGAACACATCAGATTATATAAGAGCAATAATAAAAATATTTAATAATTATTGTGTTGTGTATAAGTGCAATATATGATACAAAATGGAGAGTATTAAGCAAATTAACCCTTACGGGACGGCACCGGTTTCAAAACAATCTACAGTACTTTACGGTACGGTAATACGTGACCAGATTATCTAAGAATCTGGTAAGGGTAATGAATCAGAATCAGCAAAAACGACATCCGGGATTCTAATTGCTTTTTAATAGCTTATTAAGATAAGATAAACATGTCACATATCTTTCAATAAATAAGAAGGTATAAATTTGGCATCAAACCATTGCCGCATTGCATGAAGTTTATCTTTTATCTAGGAGTAAATATTTCTAATAAATTACATCTACCCACTGACCTTTACAGCTGCAAGTCACAAACAAACCTCTTGTAATAACAGCTTTGAATGCTCTAGAAGACTGGCGAGAGCACCATACACCATCTTTTCTCCTGTCAACAATCATGTAAGTGCTGCAAGGCGTAATCGAATATCAGGATCGCAGCTTCGGACCAACAACGAAGAACGCACAATTCACTACATATTGAAATTTAAAAGAACCTTCTGGTCGGACATCGCAAACGAAATTGTCAAATATGAGAAAATGATAATCCCAATGAGAAAATGATAATTGAACAAGATGAATCTTTAAAGTCAAATAAAGAATATGGTGAAAAACCCGAAGAAGATTTAAAGAAACAACTAGCTGTAAGTGGAATTCTGTCTTGAGGCAATTAAAGCATCGTGCCTTAAGGCAAATTGCTGGAACTTCCCGTACCAAAAATTATTATTTTTTTAAAATCGATTAACATTTTTGGAAAAAATTTACTTCGAAAAAATAAGATTTTTGACAAACAATTAGACAAAAAATTACTTTTTTTAAAAAAAAAAAAATTTTTTAATTTTTTTTTTTAATTTTTATTTTTTGAAAAAAAAAGTTTTCTTTATTTTGACATATTTTGAAAGATCTAAAGTTTTTTTCAAAGCAATCGTACTGCTTTAACTGCATAAAGTAACGCGTAAACATTGGTACGGAACCCAGAGGAATGTAAACCAAAATTATACTTATTGTTAAAATCTCTATAAAATATCTGATAATTTGATGTGCATATGTCTAATGATCATTTTTGACCGCCAAATGGCATTTTTTTTTACTTTTTTCATTAGATCTCCGAAACCGCTAGACCTGCCTTTATGAAAATTTGATCGGTTCTTCACCTTGTATAAATACAAGTAAAATGTTTTTTGAATTATTAAAATCGGACGCTCTGTTCTTTTAAAAACTGAGTTACCGTTTTCGGCACTTTTTGCCCCGTATCTTCGGAACGGCTAGACCTGACTTCGCCAAAAACTAATCAGCACGTCTCCTTATCAATACAAATCGAATGTTTTTGTAAGACCTAGTATAGAATTTAAAAATATGCTATTACATGAAAATTCCAGAATAATAGGAGCAAAAATAGATGAAATAAATTTCATCAATGTCTATGCACATGCTGGAAATAGTTTTAGAGAAAGAAATAGGCAGTATATTAAGAAATAATACATCTGCAAAAGACCAAAAAAGCCGAGCAAATAATAGTGCGGCCTTGAAAAATTAGTGAATCAGCTTAAACTAAAAGATGCATGGGAACAAAAACATAATAATGAATCAGGATACACATTTCTTACAGGCTTCTGCATCTAGATTGGACCGGTTCTATGTAGATTCAAATATAAGTAACAAAATTATAGACTGCAAAACGGTACCGATAGCTTTTTCGGACCATTACGCTGTAATTCTGAAAATAAAAGCATATTCATCAATACCCTTATTAGGAAAAAGCTATTGGAAAATGAACTATAAAATATTAAAATCAAAGGAATTCGACAATAAATTTATAGAAGTATGGAAATTAATTGAAAAAAAAAATATCC